TCGTCTGTACAGTATGTAAATTAGGTACCGTAAGTCTAATACAGCACTAATTTTATACATTTCTTGTAAAAGAAACATTTCTTATTCAACGGCCATAAAAATTATTTATATTAATGATGTCTCCAAAGATCAAGTTATTTTTCTGCGAAAAATTCGTTATCAGAAATCGTGGCCGCTGTTTTGTGTGCTGTTCCGCGACGAAAACAAGCTTTGAGCAACGGCATAGTCGAACGGTGCACACTCAGTAAGTAATCCTATAATTTTTTGTTTATAGCATAGTTTATACAGATTATTCCCAAAAAATTATATGTGTTTTGGAAATGTTGAGTGGAATTAGTCTAGAATTGGTTAATTTTATAAAAGAAAACCTTTTAAACAGTCTTAGTCCGTAAACTTCACACCTATCGGGCTGCGATTGGCTCATGTATTTAATCATTCCTACAATGTAAAATTCGATTAACGTGGAATGTATCTAAGCGTTATAGGGGGGTCTACTGTACAAAATACATCCGTCACTCATTGCATTCTTACCAAACACTATGCAGGATTAGAGAACAACACTACATCTCAGGGTTAGTAACACTTCCATACATACAAATGAGATATTCATTAGGCGAGGAATTTTTCAAGGAGATGCCTTGAGTCCTCTCTGGTTCTGCCTAGCCCTGAACCCATTATCCGACATGTTAAACAACATGCATTATGGCTACAATATCAGACATGAAAAAACAACACAGTTTACGCTGTCACATCTCATGTACATGGACGACATAAAACTTTATGCATCCACACAGAAACAACTTTATCAACTCCTACAAATTACACATTCATATATCAAGGACATACAAATGGAGTTTGGCTTAGACAAATGCAAAAAACTTCACATAGAAAAAGGAATCCTGAAGAAAGAAGATTTTGTACTTGGAAATGGAGACGTTATTGAATCCATGGAAGAGGGCAAGTTCTACAAGTATTTAGGATTCCAACAGGCCAAACTAACAGAACATACACAAATAAAGCAAAGANGGCTCCGCTTCGCTGGGTTTTTAAAAAGTAACAGTAGTAAAGATTAAGATAATTACATTATAGCCAATTTTACCCGTTTTCACAGAATGCAAGAATTAGGCCCCCCGTTTCCAGAGTAATTAGAGACCTGGTCCCGATTTTATTTCTGAACGTCTCCTGTTCACGTCCAGTCAAACGAACTATTTTCAACGTTTTAGGAACGTTTACAATCGTTCTATAATCGAACTAATATTCGAATTTTATGTTCGAATTAAATTCGAACAAATTTTAACATAAAATTCGAAATAAAGAACCACTTTCAACCACTTTCAAGCCCATATCTCCCGCACCCTTATAGCTATCGAGATGCAACTACCCTGGTGCACGAACGAAGACTTGGGGCTATTACCACATACAAAAACCATTCATGTGCGATGTGTAGTTTTGGCGGAAAAGTGAAATATAGGGACACACACGTCCATTTATATATATATATATATATATGGGAGACAGAAGGATTCATGATTGCCATCCAGGATCAGGTCATAAATACTAAAAAGTACAGAAAACACATACGCAAACATACAACACTCACAAATGACACATGCAGAAAATGTCACATCATGCCAGAAATTATACAACACATCACTTCTGGGTGCAAGGGATATATATATATCCCTTTTTGGGGAGACGGAAGGATTCATGATTGCCATACAGGATCAGGTCATAAATACTAAAAACTACAGAAAACACATACTCAAACATACAACACTCACAAATGACACATGCAGAAAATGTCACATCATGCTAGAAACTATACAACACACCACTTCTGGTTGCAAGCTCTTGGCACAGAAGATTATTTACACAGGCACAATCAAGTAGCAAATATAATACACCAAGAGCTTGCAAAGAAACACAACTTGGCAGACATTCACGAACTATACTACAAGTATATTCCACAAACAGTATTGGAAAATAACACACACAAAATGTACTACGACAGAGCCATAATCACAGATAAAACAATTTACCACAACAGACCAGACATCACACTCATTGACAAACACAATAAAATCACATATATTATAGACATAGCCATTGCAAACACTCACAACGTACAAAACACATGCACTGAAAAAATTAGCATGTACACGGAACTCGCCCAGGAAATACGGCATTTGTGGAGGATGGATAAAGTGATTATTGTACCTGTTGTTCTCTCCTGTACAGGTGTGATACCACACACACTACATAAAAGCCTGGAAACATTACAATTGAGTAGAAATACATACATCACACTACAGAAGGCCACTATATTGAATACATGACACATTGTTAGGAAATTCCTGAATACAGACACACACACTGACACTCTTATTTAATTTTAGTTTTGTTTTGGTTGCTATGCCTTGACTCTTGTCTGGCATAGTACACAGCAATTGGTGTCGACCAAGTATAACTCACTAAACCTAGCATAATACAGTCGACCCCCCCATAACACTTGTTGATTTTTCCATTTTATATGAATTCCATGTTGTACGAGTCACTTAGATTTTACAAATATGTGTGCTGGGCTGTGAACGGCTCACGTATTTATAAAATCTAAGTGACTCGTACAACATGGAATTCATATAAAATGAGAAAATCAACAGTGTTATGGGGGGGTCGACTCTATTATTTTATTTTTTACAAACCATATTATTATATTTGCTTCTAAACTTGCAAATACATAATGAAAAGAAAGTTTAAGATGAATTTTCTTAAAGGTTTGTTTTATTGAGGTAGCAATATGATAATAATATAATAATTTGGTGATGTTATAATTATTTGAATACAGTTGTAAATGAAAATGCCTAGTGTAAATTTTTAAAGGCCTGTAGCACTTACCAAAGTTTTTTTCTTTTCTAGAACTCATTGTAGACTGCATTTCTTACCAATTAAACACACTCAGAACACCTTTTAAATGTGCAGCTTTTAAATGATTTTCTTTTCTCTTTATTAAGTATTGCAGGCTGACAAAAATAAAAAACAGTTGCCAATCAGTTATATCAATTTGCTGAAATAAATTTCTAGCATTAAAAATTAAAATAAAAAATTTAAAATGTTTTTTTTTTCTTTCCAGCTATTTACATTCTTGTTCACCACCAATTATTCATGGAAACTTAACTTGTGATACCATTTTCATTCAGCATAATGGTTTAATAAAAATTGGATCAGGTACGATATTAAATCTTATGCTTGTTTCCATAATTACATAATTAAAAGGTTATCATAAAATTTAATAAATTTATTTTTTAAATCAGATTTAATTTTATAATAATGTAACTGCAAAACAATTGAACCAAAGTACATAATTTTTTTAAACGGAGAATTTTGCACTTTTATTAAGAATGAAATATGGTCTTAGTAAAATTGATGACTTAGAATTTTTTACAGAAATAATTACCTATGTCTTATTTTCCAGCAACTTTTTATGTCAGATGCTAATGATTATGGATGTATTTATTGTCCATCTTCCCATCTAACATTAAAAGAAAGAAGTTTTGGAATTTTTTACTTAAATAGAATTTAGTTGCTATTCATGAATTATTTCTGTATTTTAAATTTCAGATTTAAAGTTCATATTCTTAATTTTCTTTTGATATATCATTTGTAATTATCAAAATTGTTCATATTAAACATCTATACTTAATTGAAAGTAATATCTCAAAAATTTTTGAGATATTATTTTCAACAATTTTTGAGGCTAGAAGCTCTTTTATAATCTATATTTAAATTTGATGATGGCTACTATCTTTTAGCATGTGATACTAAAAATGCTTTATGGAAAAAATTGCTGCTGGAGTTTAAAGGTTTATTTTTTATTTTATCTATTTATGTCTGTTTTAACTGAGTTGCTTACAAATCGTTTCCCTTTTTTTATTCTGTTCTTGCAAAGAATAATTATTGCAAAAGTATATGAAATGTAGGCAGAGATTATGAAGAAGGAATAGCCTTTTTATGTAACTTGAATGAAATTGCACATGATTCCTATTTTAATAACTAAAGTAATTATTCAAGGACATTACCTTTTAAAATAATTATATTTTCAATTTAAAAATGCTGCTACTTCATTTATAATTATACAAATGCTTTTCAATTAATTGTTTTATAATTTTGCAATTTTAAGAGATTGTATAGCTGTTTATTATGTAGAATCTTCTTTTTATGCTAAAAGATAAATGCAGAATTTATATTGAATTTACTGTAAATTCAATAATGTGAAACAACAAGAAAAATATCTAAATTATAATTGTCACAAATTCGTATAAATATTTATGAATATATATGTGACCAGAGGGTTTGCACCAGACCAGTGATGCCTACATCAGGACTGACATCACTGTATCCCTTGAGGTTGATACAGAAACCTTCGGCTGCTATTCCAATTGTGCAAAAGCAGTCGTGTATATAAACACTAGGAGTCCGGGACGGAGACCGACTGACAGACAGTGCGGCGGAAATAAGTGTACACTTTTTTCTATAAAGGAAAAATACCTGTTTATTTATATAAATAATTTACACATATACATAGAGTAACAGAGAATTCTGCTTAGCCAAGGAGTGGCATAAATTGGACAAAGCTAAATAGCGTAACATGATTGAGTTTTTACATTAGTGAGTTTCTAGCCAAGAGAGAGCGTTTACAATATGACACACGTTGGTAAATACCTTTATTGGTAATCTGTCCGATGCAGTAGATGTTCTTACCGAAGTAGTGAAGAGAAATCTCTTTACCACTTCGGCTGGATTTGGATGGCACTGGATAGGGTAGAGTTGTGGATCAAATGTCCTGTAGGAGTAGACAGTTAAGGTCTGGTGGATGACGATGGTGGAGCATGACAGGAAAACACCTGCACAAAGCTATGGATAGGCGAACATTCTTCGTTGGTTGCGATGTTCATCTTTTTATTTTAGGGATCCTCCCTTTGATTTTTGATGCCCTTTTTTTGGTAATGTTCAAGGGTTTAGACCAATAGATGAATTTAGGATGATAGTTCCTGATGACATATTCATTCGGAAGATTGTCACCTTTGGAAAGGAAGTAGATCCAGGAAAAAATGCGATCACATCCTTCCAGTTTTTTTAATTAAATGTTGGGAAAATTTTATTTTCTATAATATGTGAAATTTAAATGCCAGTCTAAATAAATTATATATTTTGTTGTAATTAAATAAAAAATTTTATCTCATCTAGCCTCTCACATATAATAATAAAATTACTTTTTCTCATTTAACACACAAATTGCCAACTATGAATTATCTTTTAGTTTGCAATCAAACAACAGATTCCACCTATGAGATAACTCATATAATGTTGTCTGCCGTGTTTTGCCAGATATCACTGTTCCTGGAGTAAGTGGTTATAATAACTCGGGGATGGCCAACACGTAGACTGCGGTTGACCACAAAGTTTTTGAAAGTAGACCGCGAAGCTAAAGTTGAACAATTTGCTTTACTTAAATTCAATGTTTAAAAATCTTAATTTGATAATTTATTCTTACAATAATAGACTGTCTGTGCAACATACCCATACTGTTTGTATTTATCCCGATGAACAATACAAATGAATGTTAACGCATGCACATATAAAAATCCTAAAATTGTTTGCCCATATTCATAGTTGCCTGCAGATTATATTTTACCAAAAAAGTAGCCCCTAAGGGATAAAAATTTGGCCATACCTGTAATAACTGATTAATGGGCATTCGGAATGAGAACAACACATTTGTGCTAACCGAGGGGGCTGAAGCGGAGAGCTTCTCCCCACTTACCGGCTTGGCTGTCAGGAAATGGCTATAGGAGGGCAAAAGGAGTGGGAGGCGTAACGATCAGGTGTCCAAAAGACTACACGGGTTTAAATTAACGAACACATTTAATAAACTACTAAGCAAATTTACATAAAGATATTAAATACAACACACTCGTATCAAGATATAAATAGGTATTCTAAAATCTATTCTAACCTAACGCTAAAGTCCGATAGATAGCTCACGTTGGAGAGAGATAAATAATAATGGCAAGGGTTTACCTCGTAGGATATGCTCGTATAGGGCGTTGATGAAACGCACTGTGATCGTCGTCTTCTAAATTTGAGGTGTCCTTTTTAAGGCTATGTAGAGCGATGTCCTTATCAGGCCGTGTGGCTATGTCCGGTTACGGTGTATGCTCCGTCACTCCCAATCTGTAGAGTTCTTCCTTGGCGAAGTTCTTCGGAGGTTTCTTAGGATAACCTCTCCGAGGAGTAATTCCGTCGTATATGGAGAGAATAGAAAATATTCAGTTTTTCTACCTTTCATGGAGCGGCGATTATGAGCTGTTTAGATCTTGAGAGAGCTGGAAGATCGTGCGTCGATGTTTCTTCCCCTATGATCGCTCTCGAGGTGTCAGATCGTTCCCCTTTTATACCCTTTTGCGTGGGAAAAACCTGGGAATTTGTTGACGTCTTTTGACATCTCTCCCTGATTTATTACCATTTCTCGCAACTTATCTCCTTATATAGTCATTCTTTTCGTCCGGTCGCTCGGACATATGGAGGTCATGTGACATCGTGGTCCCTCGTCGATGACCTTCGGATGACGAAAGTCACCCTCGCTAACTATGCAGTTAGTGTGAAAATAAAAACAGCGTCTGTATTCTCACACATTGATTAGGCATTATAGAACAAACTATAAAGAAGTTTAAAATGTGATATGAATTTTCTGTTTTGATTGTCAGTTACAATAATATTTTTGTAGTAAATATACTACCAAAATGGCTAATTTGTGTCTGGAATATAAATGACAAATCAATTTGTCATAAAAAGAAAAGTTTATTGAAAAAGTATTGAAAAGCATTAAAAAAATAAGAAATAAAATTTATTTATATTGCCTGAATTATCTTGTCGTTGGTATCTGTAAAAGAAAAATTACTTCACATGTCCACTATGAGATAATTTGCATTGATATTTTATTGGCTAAATATTACTACCAGTTATATTTAAAAGTAAATATAAAAATTTAAAAACAGCAAATAAATGTTGTGTAATCAAAATGGTGCCCAAAACATGTTTGTGCAAAATGTGTGTGTCACTTAACATGTTAAAAAAATAAGAATTTTTAAATATAAAATGTTTAGCAAATAAAAAATCAAAAAAACACAACACCTTAATTTGCTGAGAAAATTTAATGAAAAGCAAATGTTTTCAGCCAGATCTGTTGGCCATCATCAGGCTAAGATAATCGAATATAAACAAAATAGAACAAAAATTTAAATACAAATAAAATAAAATAACGAATGAAATATACATATACATGTATAAAGAAAAATAAAATAAAAATTATTATTATAAATAACAAAATATGTATATAAATACATGCATAGGTTATATGTTTGAATATAAATAAAATATGTTTTATTTTGTTTATATTTGATTATCTTAGCCTGATGATAGCCAACAGATTTGGCTGAAAACTTTTCAGATTTCATTCAATTTTCTCAGCAAATTAAGGTGGTGTGTTTTTTTTTATTTACATACTGCTGAGTTAGTGTACCT